ACAGATTCTCAGTAATGTGAACGCTGAGGAACTTGAAGATGCTGCCCTGCTCCACCTCAGCGTTGTAGATGGTGGAGTGGTGATCTCCACTCTGTTTCCTGAAGTTCACTATCATCTCCTTTGTTTTGCTGACATTAAGAGATAGGTTTTTTTTTCAATTCAGTTTATTTATATAGCGCCAATTCACAACAAAGTTGTCTCAGAGCACTTTACAGAAACATTCACATACATAAAAAAGTCAAGTAGTAAAGTTCTCTAAGGAATTTTCCTGACATCAGCTGGTCAGTGATTTCACCTTGTCTCTGTAGGCAATCTCGTTATTGGTGATGAGGCCCAAAATGGTGGGGTCATCAGCATACTTGAGCATGATGTTAGAGCTATGTTTGGGGGAATACTCATGTAAATAAAGAGTAAAAGAGTAGATTGAGGACACAGCCTTGAGGTGTACCAGTGCTGAGGACTTGTGTGGAGGAGAGGTGACTGCTGATTTTCACTGCCCGTGGTCTATTGGTAAGGAAGTCCAGTATCCAGCAGCAGATGGCCTTCTCCAGGCCCAGTGAGGTGAGCTTGGAAACCAGCTTGGAGGGGTTTATGGTGTTGAATTCTGAGCTGTAGTCAATGAAGAGCATTCTCACATAAGTGTTTACCTTTTCCAGATGGCTGAGGGAGGTGCTTAAAGCTAGTTGTGCTTTTTGTGTGTTTTACACAAAGCGTGTAAAACATTTACAAAACCTATTTTTATTTGACAGAAAAGAGCTGTAAGAATTATCACCAGAAAGCATTACAGTCACCCATCAAGCACATTATTTTATCAACTGAAGTTATTGAAGTTCCATGATTTGGTAGATTATAGTATTTTATCAGTTATGTATAGGGCTCAAAATAACACATTACCATTAAATATCCAAAGAAATTTTGTTAAAAGACAAAGTTGTTATAATCTTAAGGGGATAGAGATATTTGTCAAACCAAAATTCCGAACTAGTCTGAAGGGAAGGTCTACCTCAATCCAAGGAGTTGGATTGTGGAATGATCTAGAGAGTGATGTGAAAAATGTCAAGTCAATGTGTACATTTAAGAAAAAGATCAGAACTGAATTGTTAAAAAAAATATATGAAGTAGCTTAGTGTGTTTTTGTATTAGAATTAGAAAAATTAACAAGAGTTATTCATTTTGTTCTGTTACTTGAAAATTATGTTTGAAATAATTGTTTGAAAAAAGGGGCAGATAAGATTTTTTTTCTTCTTTCTGCTGCCTTTCATTTTAAATCTCTTGTATTTATTTTTTATATTGTTATGGAATTGGTTTGTACTTTTTTTAAATGAATAAACTTTATACCATACCTTACCATACATATTGTCACTGTAACTAGATCTGTCCTTTTGGCAGAAAATTTAGATAAGTAAATTGTAAATGGCTTACTTCAAAGTAGAACAAACCAGTTTTGTTTGTGATAAGATGGTCTCTTTGGTACTCCCCCTCCTCCATTGCCGGCCCTCTTCCTTGTTGACAGTCGTGTCAAACTGGTTGAAAACAACAAAATCCATGCTCAATAATCCAGGTATACAATCCAACATTTTTTAGTCAGGTCATCTGGACAGTTTCTTTTTTTGTGCTGTGTTTTGTTTGTGATAGGACTAAACAAGGAAGAGGGCCGGCAAAGAAGGAGGGGGCATACCAAAGAGACCATCTTATCACAAACAAAACTGGTTTATTCCACTTTGGAGTAAACTGTTGGGGGAAGAATCAGTTTTGTTTTGTGTGTTCCTTGACTGGTGAAGCCTTCTGGATTGAAGGCAAAATGTTTCAGCACAAAAAAAAAAAAAAAGAAACTGTCCAGATGACCTGACTGAAAAATGTTGGATTGTATACCTGGATTATTGAGCATGGACTTTGTTGTTTTCAACCAGTTTGACATGACTGTCAACAAGGAAGAGGGCCGGCAATGGAGGAGGAGCAGGCATACCAAAGAGACCATCTTATCAAAAACAATTCCACTTTGGAGTAAGCTGTTGGGGGAAGAATCAGTTTTGTTTTGTGTTTTCTTGACTGATGAAGCCTTCCGGATTGAAGGCGAGACGTTTCAGCACAAAAAAATGAAACTGTCCAGATGACCTGACTGAAAAATGTTGTATTGTATACCTGGATTATTGAACATGGGCTTTGTTGTTTTCAACCAGTTTCACATGACTGTCAACAAGGAAGAAGGCCGGCAAAGGAGGAGGGGGCGTATGAAAGAGACCATCTTATCAAAGAAAACTGGTTTGTTCCACTTTGGAGTAAGCTGTTGGGGGAAGATTCATTTTTGTTGTGTATTTCCTTGACTGATTAAGCCTTCTGGATCGAAGGCGAAACATTTCAGCACAAAAAAAAAGAAACTGTCCAGATGACCTGACTGAAAAATGTTAAATGGTAAATAGACTGTACTTATTTAGCACCTTTCTATCTTATTTCAAGATACTCATGGCGCTTTACACGACAATCTGTGTCCTCATTTACCTATTCATACAGCACTCTACTAGATCTCTACAAAGCGAATTGAACAAATCATTCTAATGAGACTAATCAGAGCTTTAGATCACATCCATACACTGATGGGACACACATCATTAGCGATGAGGGGTTCAGTGTCTTGCCCAGGGACACTTCAGCATGTGACTGCTGGTGGATTCGAACCCCCAACTCTCGCATTGGAGGACGACTGCTCTAACCACTCAGCCTCAGACGCCCCCAAAGTTAAGATAAGTTGGTCTTTTTGGCCAAAAAATTAAAACTTGATTAGTTAGATCGTAAACAATCTGTTGCTGCTTATTGTTCTGGTTCTGACTGTTATTGTATTTATTAACATTTTTAATATTGTTAGTATAGTTTGTAGTTTATTTATTGTAAAGAGTGCCGTTTATTTAAAATATCATCCAGATGGGTTGCTTTTATTTATTTTTATACAAACGTATTGTTTACTTGGCATATTTTCAAAATAAACAAAAATTGTGTAAGTCTTTATTTTGGCCTTTTTTGTACCAGAAGTTAACCGAACCGAGCCCTCCTTTAAACTGAACCGAACTGAAATGGGATTTTAGCGTACCGTTACACCCCTTATTGGAGCAGATTACTCACATCTTTGACAGCAGATCCATGCTGGTGATGTTAACTTTTCAAGCCAGACTGGATGAAGTTCTGCATTCAGCTTGTTTGTGGTCCTTCACATTTCTTGATTTGGGGGATTAAGTGAAAACTGCACTTTGCCGAACCATCTTTCCGGCTGGAACATCCTCTAACAGCCATCAACAAAACTTACTAAGCCGTCTGCAGGTAACACCGGATTCGCCCCGAATGTTACATCACATGGGTTTGGCTATTATTTTGGTAGCCCACTTCCGTTTTTTGGCAAGAAGTTTGACTATTAATTAAATATTTATCTCAGACCTAAATATTTAACTTGCATGTACAACATTTAGCTAGCAAATTAAATATTTAGGTCCAAGGTAAATATTTACTTAGCAAATTAAATACATATTTTGGAAATTACATGTTTAGTTTGTGCAGCACGGTGGCACAACTGGTAGAGCTGCTGCCTCTCAGCGAGCAGGTCCCTGGTTCAAACCCCGGTCCAGGGGCCTTTCTGGGTGGAGTTTGCATGTTCTCACCGTGCATGCGTGGGTTTTCTCCGGGTACTCCGGTTTCCTCCCACAGACCAAAAACATGCATGTTAGGCTGATTGGTAATTATAAATTGTCCCTAGGTGAGAGAGAGAGAGTGAATGGTTGTTTGTCTCGTTTGTCTCTATGTGTCCCTGTGATGGACTTGCGACCCGTCCAGGGTGTACCTCGCCCCTCGCACAGTGATTGCTGGACATGGGCACCGGCGACCCCCATGACCCAAAATGGAATAAGCGGGTAAAGATAATGGATGGATGGATAAATATTTAGTTAGCAAATTAAATATTTAGTTTACGAATTAAATGTTTAGGGTAGCAATTAAATATTTTGTTTGGAAATTAAATATTTAGTTTTGAACATAAATATTTAATTTATAACTAAATATTTAGTTTAGTGACTAAACAATTAACTTTCAAGTTAAGTATTTAGTTTGTAAACTAAATATTTAGCTTGAAATTTTAATATTTAGTTGGGAACTATGGCATTTATAAATGTATAAATAACATGGTGAAAATATGACTGAGGAAAAAAAAAAAACTTTTTTTCTTATTGAAGGCTAAATAAACCAAAATGTTGCTGTTAATTTTTGACTGTAACTTTACAAACGGCACCCCATACCTATGAAGCACTTATCTAGCACACATACTTACTCTATGCTCAAGCAAGGCGTTCATTATGGACAATCCATTTCCATCACTGATGTATAAGAAAACAACACTCTGAACAGCTGTTTGAATGTTTTATGCCATGTCTTGGTGGTATACGTCGCTTTCATAAATATTATACACACACGTTTTTATTAGCCCTTTTTTAAATTTGATCAACAGAAAACGAATGCCAGCACATGCATCAAAATATCCACAGTTTGCACATTAACTATAAAACTATACACAAAGATTACATTTTTACAATTTGTATGTACACTCTTGAACATTTAAACAACTGTTTTCTTGTTTTAGGTAAACTCATAATAGGTCATGCAATCCAGAAAATCTTCAGAGGAGTTATTGTTTCAGTCTTTGGACAAAACATTTTTTTATTCTCGTTTTTTGACACATTTACAAATGTGAACTTTGTTTTGTTTCTGAAATAAATGGTAAGTGACTGTACTTATATAGCCATTACACTACAATCTGTACCCTCATTTACCCATTCATACAACACTCTACTAGATGTATATAACAACTAATCAGAGCTTTAGATCACATTCATACACCGATTAGACACACATCGGAGGCAATGAGAGGTTCAGTGTCCAAGGACACTTGGGCATGTGACTGCTGGTGGAATCGAACCCCCCAACTCTTGCATTAGAGGACGACTGCTCCAACCACTCAGCCACAGCCGCCCATGTTCTACTTGAGTTGCGCAGTGAATGCATCAAAGCTACAGTTTACCTTTTAGGTGATATTTCTCATAAGAACACTTGTATTTTATCTGTTGTTGATGTTCTTGATCTCTGGTTGAACATTTGACCAACACACAGATCTCCATCACAGGCTCAACAAGACAGTTTTCTCTGCAGACACCACCCTTTTACCCCTCACAGGCATGTGATACCTCATTTCCTTCCAGAACCTGGAGGAAGGAGAGAGAGATGGTGACAGTGGTGAGTCTTCTCCACCCTTTTCCTTGTCCTCTCTCCACCACACGCATGTCCTCCTCCTTTGCATTTTCTGGAGATTCTTCCACCAACACACAGCCCCCTGCTTCTTCCTCAGGTGACGCACTGACTCTGGGAAGAGGGCCAGCTGAGCTGGAGTGATCTCCTCCATCTCAACCAGAACAACCTGTAAAAATGTTGCTTGATTAGTTCCAATCAACAGGACCTTTTAGAACAAGTAGAAAAGATGTCAATGATGCATTGCAGAGACTGTTTCTACACCTTGAGTGATCCTTCCAGCAGCGCTCTGTGCATCGCTGCCACACATTCCAGCTGCTGTCTGGTGTCAGAGAAGACTTTGTCATCACCATCCAAACCCATGATGTTGGTGTCTCTGGTCTCACTTTCAATTTTACCATCACTGTTCTTTGATACATTGTTGTTGTTACTGCTGGTGCTGCCTGTGTGTCTTTTACTGATGAAAGTAGAGGCAGTGTAGAGCAGAAGGACACGACGACTCAATTTTATGTTCTCATCCACTGAATCCACAATAGCTGGAGGGAGAAGAATGGATGAGAAAATGTACCAAAACAGCAACTGTTGAAAATTCCACTATACATCAGCTTTTTTCTATTAAGCCCAATAGTCATTATGAACATCCATCCATCCATTATCGTTTACTCGCTTCTTCCATTTTGGATCACTGGGATCGCCGGTGCCCATGTCCAGCAATCGCTGTGCGATGGGCGGGGTACACCCTGGACAGGTCTCCAGTCCATCAGAGGGACACATAGAGACAAACGAGACAAACAACCATTCACTCTCTCACTCACTCCCAGGGACAATTTAGAGTTACCAATCAGTCTAACATGCATGTTTTTGGTCTGTGGGAGGAAACCAGAGTACCCGGAGAAAGCACATGCATGCATGGAGAGAACATGCAAATCCACCCAGAAAGGCCCCCAGACCGGGATTTGAACCAGGCATCTGCTCGCTGTGAGGCAGCAGCTCTACCAGTTGCGCCACCGTGCTGCCACATTTTGAACATTTTTTTTGTAATAATTTAACCTACAACAAAACATACCCTCATATTTAAGAATATCGACTAGCTTTATTCTAAAACATCAGGTTACAAACTTTTCCAGATCTCCCTTTAGGTCTGGTTTTTGGACTTTAAACTCTTCAAGGGCTTTTATTTAGTTCTCCTTGATTGAAAAGTTCTATATGAACCAAAACTGAAAAACTGCATTTATAGTGCTGAATATAATTAGATGTGTTGCCATGGTGCTTCCTGCTTTTACTGAAGAGAAGAAGTACACAACACAACTCATCTTTAGACAGGAAGACAGAAATACAAACCAGAAAGTAAGTCTTGAGGAAACGGCCATTATTAAAATAATAATAATAATAATAATCTGCAAGTCTTGTCTAACAAGGTTAAGTCAGGTCATCTGGATCAACAAAGAAAAATCTGTCCAGATGACCTGACTTGTAGATTTTTCTACCGGGATTATTGAGCATGCATCAGGACATGTAAGTCGTGTCAATAAAATCTTTGAACTGTGAGTGTTAGAAACCTTTAGTGGCCAAAAGTAAAGTTTTATTTAATCATTGTGTTTTGAATAGGAGATGTGATGTGTTGGATACGCTCTCTATTTCAGGTTTGGAAAGAAATATTTACAGCTCAGACATTTTAGGAGTAAATAAGATTTTAGATGTGCACCCTCTGGACTCCTGAGTGATTTAGAAAAAAAGGACAAATCCAATAATAGTTAGACACATTTGGTGAAAGAAAACAAAAATGACTACTTGTTGATGTTAAAATTATATAAAACATGGACTGAATGAGTAAAATAAGTAAATGAGTAAAAACCTAAATTGTAATGGTGCAAAACTGGTAAAAAAAATAATAAATTAAAAGCCAGCTCAGTAACATGAAGTCCACACAACATAAATTCCAACATTTTGTAACCCATTTACATTTTGAATAATGTTTCTAATTTGAAGTCTGCTTTTACAGAGATCCAAAGAGGACTAGGTTTCCCTCATTCTCCTTGTCAAAATCTTGATGTGGGAAGTGTTTTTCTTTGTTTTTATGAACGAGCATCCACATTGTACAATGCACTGCTACTAAAAGTCAAACTACTCACAAGTCCCAGATTTCTGCAGCAGATACATTTTGTGAGGTCTACAGTATATCTGATTTGTTTCATTTGAACCCTTTTAGACATTTTGTGACTAAGACTCTGGAGTGCAGGTCTGACATTAAGGGGGCCCTCAGCAAGATCTGTACACTGCTCACGTCATACCATGAGTTCAACTTGGACTCTCTTCAGCTGAAATGGGAAATGGACTTGGAGGAATCCATATAAGACTCAACCTGGAGAAAGATCATTCAGAACATTTATTCATCCTCAATCTGTCTGAGACATGCTGTAATTCAATTCAAGGTGCTGTACCAGCTGCACTGGTGCAAAGACAAGTTGTCCAAGATCAAAGCCGACCTGGACCCTGCATGTGATCGTTGTAAACAAACTCCATCGATGCTCTTACACACATTCTGGACTTGTGCAAAGCTTCAGACCTTTTGGCAATCTATTTTTGATACTTTCTCTGTGATATGTGGAAAAACTGTTTGCGGTGGTCCCCGTGGATACGTCCTTCAGCAAGAACGAGAAGGATGTGATTGTTTTTGGCTCTCTTCTGGCCAGAAGACTTGTTTTGTGCAAATGGAAGGACCCACACCCCCCAGCATATGAACATTGGATTAGAGAAGTCATGTATCATACTCATCAGGAAAAAATGAAATATACACTGAAAGGTTCTGTAAAAAGACTTTGGGCAGACTTTTGTGTCGTGTTGAAAACATGTCAATGCCTGTATGAAGACATTTATGTACAAAGTATATGTGGCTGATCCGGTGTGGGTGGGGAGGGGCGGGAGGGGATTTTGTTCTATTTTTTTCTTTGTGTTAAAACAATAAATAAAAAGTCATACTACAATTTTCACAATCAAACTGCTTGGTTTGATTTTTGGACAGAGATTTCTAAAGATGTGGGAGTAAAAGCAAATCAAAAACTGTGTTGAAAATGGACACATAGCACATAAGGGATTTTAAATAAAACATCAAAAAGTAAACATTATTCTGTTTAGACAGTTAGTGTTAATGACTGCCTCCTGGCTAAGGTTTACCTCCACATTCAAAGTAAACAATGTGAACTCTTACCCTGCCCGGGCAGACAGTCACGGCCTGCTATGAAGAGTTTGTATCCGCAGGCCTTTTCTAGTACCTCTGGCAGTGCGTGCAGGGCAAACCTCTCCACCTCCTCACTGAATCCAAACATATCCAGCTGAGGATATGTCACATAAGCATCATATAGCTTTCCATCTAGATCTAACAGAGAATAGAGCTCATTAGGTCTATTTAGACATGTTTGATTTACTTTAACATGCACGGAAATTATAGGCTTGTTTCAGAAAAGGACAAAAAAAACCCTTTCTGTTTCAGTTTTAAGGTTTATTATATCAATATATTCAACACCAACAGCATCTATACAGTTCAGTACAGGCAAATGTTTTGCATCTGAGTCACCAAAGTCTACAGTAACTCACAGAACCACCTTAGAAACTGATGCAGAAAAATGTCACTGAGACAAAAGGGTTTTTTTTTTTATCTAAAAAAAACTGAGAGGAAAAGAGCTGTTGAATTTAATGCCAAGTTTCAGGTTTTAATGTTCCATAATTTTTACGGGCCACAGTCCCTCCCACATTTTGTAAAAAAATTTCTATCTGTTAAAAAAAAGCTTGACAGAAACCCATCTGTGGCCAAGTCACATATGAAATCAGTGACATTTTATCAGACAGAGTAAAGCAACCATGTGGTTAGTTTGTTTCCTGTTCGTGCTCATTGTGAACACGTGGTAAGACTTGAGGTAGCGCTTTAGACTCTGTCAACACTGATTAATGTGTGAGCACTTAGTGCCAACTGTACTATTCAGTGTAGAAGCATTTGAATGTTTCTTTTTTCCATGCAATGTCTATAAAAATAAATTCATCGCATTGAATGTTTTATGCTTTTATTGCTGTCATAAATCCATGTTGGTAATAAAGCAACTGTTGCCCGTGTCACCAGTCTATTGATGAGTGTGACAGAGAAAGCCACTGTGTGAGGATTTGTGCTCCTTAGTGTGTCTCCCTCTTGTGGTCTGTCCTAGCTCCTGTGTTCCCAGCTATTTCTGATCGTCTCTTCCCCAGGTGTTTGTCATTAACATCCCGTATTAGTCTGCGGCTCTGTGTTCTTCTTTGTCTGGGCACTGTCTTGTATGGCGTTATGGTTCTGGCTTCCTCCGTGTCATCACTGAGACCATTAAGTTTGCTGCATGTAAGCTTTTGTTTTTTCTTTATTAAATGTATATTCTTACTTTAAATCCTGAGTTCTCCGGGTCCTGCCTGCACATGGGCTCTACCAAACTCCAGAATTGTAAAACACTGTTGAAATAACTCATAATAAATACTAGAGTCTCTAAACAAGCTCTAGTTGAGATTTCACCAAAGTTTTCTTCAACAGTGGCTTTCTCTGTCACCTTCCTATAAATCTTTGACTGGTGAAGAACTCGGGCAACAGTTGGTGTATGCACAGTCACTCCCATCTCCTCTGCTTAAGTACAGTATGTTATCCTTCAGAATGGTCACTTGATGTTCTCTCTTACTATTTTCCTTCTTGCAAGGCCACATAAGTTTGTGAGAATGACCTGCTCTTGGTATATTTACACATGTTCCATATTCCTTCATTTCTTTATGGTGGATTTAACAGAACTTCTGGTTATGTTTAGGGTCTTGGACATACTTTTGTATCCATCACTTTTTAATAATATTTTATTCTGAGACAAACTATGATGGTCACTTTAAAGGTGAATATTTATGCAGCCCCTACATGACATATTTTGATTTATTTGGTATTACTGTGTATAAATTTGATTTCACTTTGACACTGAATATACATTTTTTATTTTTTTATTTTTAGAAGACCAATGGTTATTGATCATAACTGATTTATTACATCACTAAAAGCATGAAACACCCAAGGGGTGAATACGTTGTATAGGCACTGTATTCAAGATTTTTAAAGGAAGTTAATTAGAAGTCATGCTACTGTAAAGCATGCTTTGGATTACCTTTATTTGTGTACAGAACTGGAAAGGTTCTCCAGAACCACAGCGCAATGTCAATCCTAAAGGTGTAGAAGACGACGACGCTGATGATAAAGAGAACAGTCGCACTTCCAAAAACAAGTCCAGTGGGAAGGATGATGTTTGGATCTGTAGCAATAAAAAAAAATACCGATCAGATAGATTAAAAATCATTTCCTTCGTGAGTTAACTTGACATGAGAAGTAGTTAAGCTTTTAACTACACATTTGATTTTGCTTTAAATCTAAAGAAATGCTAGCTGCCTTTTTTTTTTTTTTTTTTTTTCATTCAACCTTTATTTATACAGGTTAGTCCCATTGAGCCTCGAGGACTCATTTACAAGAGAGACCTGAAAATATTGCTAAATAATCAAATTAAAAAGGGTTTAAGTCTTGCACCTAACACAGCTATTTTTATTTGGTTAAACAATACTGAACATAAACTAAGACAAAGTAAAAGCTCGAGGGCCTTTATTGATTAAATGTATCCTCTGAGTTCACCAAGACTATCTTTGGCCTCTAAGTAAAAATAACAACATTATGTGATGTAAATTTAGGTTTTGGAAAATAGAACAGATCTTTAAGGATCATTTTGGCCTCTTCAATTAACATAATTATATTTGTTCAGTCAAATTATTTGGAGGTTTGTGCTTCAGTGTTTGTACCTGCTGGTAGCAAAGTAAAATATCCATCAGGATTGCCGCGGGAGCTGTGTGCTCCACACGTATAGTTGATGTTAAAATCCTCCGCCTTCAGCTCAGAGATCACGAGTATCCGTTCTAACCACACTCCTTCAGGTTCATCTTGTCTCCACATCCTGTTCATACAATCAGACGAGCCAGACAAGAATTTCATGAAGCAAAATGTGATGCTGCTGTTTAACTAACACAGAGGTCTTCAAATGTTACATAAACTATTTGTTGTAAAAATAACTTTAGCAGGAAAATTAAAAGTACTAACCATTGTTGTGAGACGTAGATGCGTGCAGGAGGAGGAGTTTCAGGAATAAAAGTATCTCTGACCAACCAAAGGACATCAATAAATGGTATTCCAACACCTGGCACAAACACCAGACAACTCTTGGTAAAATTTAACCCTAAAACCAAAAAAATGACAAATTATATTTAACAAAACTCTTTTACTGTATATATCTAGTGAAGTAATCAGTTTTAACAAGGAACATTGAATTCTGGTGGACATTTGACACAACTAGTTTTGCGGATAAGGGTTTTAGTTTATGTTGACTTTATCCATAACGTTCTAAACTTAATGTAGTTGTTTTTGTTCCCTCGGTGACAACTTTAAATTTGAAGCAGCAACATCACTTTGATCAGCAGACATTAGCATAAGTAACTCCAAAAACGTATTTCTAGTCCCATTTCTCATTGTGTTATTCAATTTGCAGGAAATTAGATTTACCCATCAGACATTTTAATAATCAACAAGAAAATATAACTTATCCATTTCAAACGTGCGCTGGAATTGCTTGCAGTATCTTGTGTTTTGTTTCTGTTGCTATATTCACCCTACGTATACCTCCACAGTATTTCTCAATTCAGCCTGCCACCCTCACCTGTCCCAGTTCAGCTCAGGTGTTTCCACTTTGACTCTCAGCAGCTTGTTATTTAAACCATCCCTTGCTGCCACCTCACCGTTGGCTCATTGTTCTGCAAACATGTCAGGCGTCTCGGTCCTCCTCGTGCCTCCTTTCCCCTGCGTTTTCATGTAAGTTTTGCTGTCACATCAACCTTTTGTTTTTGTTTAGTTAATAAATTCATCTTTATTTTACGTCCTGCTCCCTGTGTCTGCCTGCTCTTCAGTTTAACCTCATGGACCATGATAATGAAAAACCATTTGGTTTGGGGAGAAACCAATAAACCAAATAATCCTTTAAAAACCAACATCCAATAAATTTCAACAATTGTAAAAAGGAGTCTTACCGGTCTCTGCCTTAATTATTTCATTTGTTGGCTCATGGACTTGTGGAACCAAAAAGTACTCGTCTGAAAAACAAATGACATCAAATACAGTTAACCAACATTACCATAATTGCATACTACTTATTAAAGATGTACTAGTTAAACTTTATAAATGTGATTTTACAGGTGACGCCATTTACTAGCATCTTTACAACAACTTTGTTTTAGCCACTTGCCAACAGCCTGAGCTCCAGTACACTGTATTATTAGTCTCAGTGGCAGAAAGGTTTGCAGTGTTGATTTATTTAAAAAAAAATTATTTTTAGTTCCACTTGTCAAATTGTCAACAAAGGGGACCAAAGAGACACTGGCTTTTATAAAGATATTTGATATAATCAATTCAGGTTTGTCATCTCAGCTATGTGTAGTACATTTAAAAAAAACGTTCAATACAAATATCAGCATTGTTCAATTCAATACCAGCATATGTGTAGTACAACTTCACACGATGAAAACAAGTATTAAAAAAAATCTACATTTAGTATAAATACTATTTAACACCTGCCCTCTGCTAGTCATCTAGCTGAGACTGTAGTACGCAGTAGTTGCGCTGTCCAGGTGCTTGTTGCCAGCTAGATGCTCCAGTAATGATGAGCCGTGGCAGCGACTGCCCTGTGTTGCCAGGTTGGTCATGTTTTACCACTGAACTCCTTTTGCTGGCATTTTACTGACCCGATCTGCTTTCAAAAAGATTATACCAGTAATCTGGGTCTGTTTTTCACATAGGTTGTTAGCTAAACTAGTTTATTTCAATTTTATGGGATTTTGTTGAGGTTATGGTCGCTTTTCCAGCTAAATTCTGCATCTTTGACCAACCTGTACAGTAGCTTTGGTTTACTGCATTGTTCCCTTTTTATAAATTATGGGAATTACACATTCATGTATCAGTCTGCTGGTACCTTTGCTTTTGTGTTATTAGTAGTTTGAGACACTGCTTTATTGTAAAGATGCCTTTCATCAAATGGACTGTACTTATATAGCACCTTTCTATCTTATTGAGACACTCAAAGCTCTTTACATGACAATCTGTGCCTCATTTACCCATTCAAACAGCTCTCTACTACATCTCTACAAAGCTAATTGAACAAATCATTCTAAAGAGACTAATCAGAGCTTTATCACATTCATACACTGATGGGTCACACACCTGAGGAAACTAGGGGGTTCAGTGTCTTGCCCAGGGACACTTGGGCATGTGACTGCTTTGGGATTCGAACCCCCAACTCTCGCATTGGAGGACGACTGCTCTAACCACTCAGCCACAGCCGCCCAAAGAAAAATTAAAAGATAGAAAAAGCATTATCAAATAACTTTTCTTTTCTTTCTAACCTCTGATCGTTGCTTCAATGGTCTCTGACACAGATCCTGTAACATCACCAACGTTGAACGTCAGGGTACAGGTATAGATGCCACTGTTTTCAGTTTCCACATTGGAGATGGAGAGTTTGGTACTATCCATGTAGGTATACCCACTCCTTCCATCCATTATGGGGTCACAATCCTAGATTTGAAAAATGACGTAAAGGTTAGTCTTTTTATAATGACTCAACATTACAATAATAAAACTCACTCTCATGACGGAATGATGCATCATGTGAAAAGTATCACATCATGCTGCTGATTTATTTCATGTTGCTGTGTTCATTTGTACTCTATCTGCTCACATAGACACGTTCGTGCTGCTGTTGGGCATATTGTTTTTATGCTACTAATGCTTAGTGTATTTTTATTAACATATTTTTAGCTCATATCTTAGATCTTATTGTTTTTCTTTTACATTTTTTACTTTTGTTGTTTGTAACTGGGACCCTGTGTACACAATTTTGTTCCACCACATGTACCACATGTGATGCAAATGACAAATAAAGAAACTCTGACTGAAATGGTTGATCAGTAAATTAGGTTTGAATGTGATTGCTAATTTTTAAAGTCCCAATTTATTGTGGTGGAGGGGTTTGAGGAGTTGCATGCTCCTGGAAATTGTGGTGTTTGTGCCAGCACCTGGTGGGGTCTCCACAGAAAAATGGCCACAGGGCAAGGGTCAGACTAAAAGTGATTCAAAAACTCCAATAAAGGAAGACCACAAGAAAAAGTTTATCATGCACTTGAATGAATGAATGAATGAATGAATGAATGAATGACTGAATGAATGAATGAATGAATGAATGAATGAATGAATGAATGAATGA